ATTGCTCCTGATGCCGTGCATCGGTGTGTAAATGTGTATGAATGCATTAGTTTCTGTTCGATGGGCATCACTGTGTGAATGTGTGTGAAAGGGTGAATGTGGCACGTAGTGTAAAAGTGCTTTGAGGCGCTATACAAGTACAGGTCCATTTACCATTTGCCATCCTGTGAAGTGGGAAGGCTACTGTCCCTTAGCTGTGATTCACATACTATTAGTTTGTTTTAAATGGGCATACCATCAATTTTAGACAAAGATCTGTTTACTCTTCACAGTATTACTGCTCAGCCTGTCGTAGCATTGGTGTAATCTGTTTTAAAGACCTGGAAGAACATCATCAAGAAATAACCCTGATGATGTTGTCATTTATGCCTTGAGCCTTTAAATGTATAACAGAAAGCACACTGGAGGTTGAGTTTATATAAGTCTCCTAACTTTAGGGAAGAACAGTACTGAATTGCTGGTTTGCATTTTTCACATTTGGTCCAGGTTGGCTGTTTTGACCCCTACAGTGATGACCCGAGGCTCGGCATTCAGAAGATCCACCTCTGTAAATACAGTGGCTATCTGACTGTGGCCGGCACTGCTGGACAGGTGAGTCAACACTGACTGTGATTTATAACACAGGTCACATACTGAAGGTTTCTCAAGTTGATTCATCCCCACTACTGTAGCACTACCTCAGTGTCAGTGTTACTCTGCATGAAGTCATGTTCACAGCTGTGATGGGCTCTCCACCTTAGGGTGTAATGATGATTACAGAAAGATGGAAAGTAATTCCATATTGTTCTGTGAACTTCTAAACTTATTCCTAAAGACAGGAATGGATATGTTGCATTATAGGTTATCTTTCACAAGCCTCTAGGGGTTTTCAAATCTCGCCTGCACAGTTTGCTCCTTTTCTTTTGTTTGTGCCTGATGTCTTTTATTGTGCAAATAAAATCTAAATCTGCATATGTACAAACGGATGAGGGACAAAGGGAAGTTTTTCCTCCTTTGTTTTAAAGATGAATTCTGGTATATTTGGGTTCAAACCTGGAACAAGCTTAAGCCATGAAACTACTCAATAACTGGAAATTATGTGTAAATGCTTCACGAAAATATGCATCGAAATCAAAGCAAAAAGGGTCTCTAAAGGTTTGTAGTTAAATGTGTGTAGTGAATTACCAAAATTACATTTGATGAAGTTTGAAAAGGGAACCTGCATTTGTATGACATTTCCTCAATTATCTGCCAGGGTGCATTTCTCTTTCGGGTTAATTTAAGTATGAGAAGTCAGTGTGGTGTAGACTTGATAATGGAAGTTTTTATAGTCAACTTCACTCCCATTAGTTGGTTTGAAATGGCACTACAAAAACCCTCCACACACACAAACATGGCAGAGTGTACAGGGTAAGGGTGTGGTGGACAGAGCTGTTCTCCTGTTCTTCATCTGTCTTTATCTGCATTAGTTTTCAGAGGCTTTGTTCTGCTTATTCACTTATTATTCCGCTGTGTCTTGGGTTTGTATTTCCAGATCCTGGTGCTAGAACTGAACGATGAGGCAGCGGAGCAGACGGTGGAAGCTAAAGTCGTGGATCTGCTGCAGGGCCAAGAGGGTTTCCGCTGGAAGGTAATGAGCAGTGTGACTGGATACTGCAAAAACAACATTACTCATAACTTAACTATTGGAATGCTTTACTCATCACTCCCTGAGAGCTGTAATATCTCACAGTGCTCGTTACAGTAGATTACTTTCTTGTCACATCCCTTGTTAAAGTCATCTGATCAGTATATCGTTGGTTTTCCCATTGATTAGGGCCACACTCGGCTGGATGTTCGAGAGGAGCCGGTGCTGTTTCCTCCAGGCTTCCAGCCCTTTTCTCTGGTCCAGTGCCAGCCTCCTGCCGTGGTCACCGCCCTCACCCTGCACTCGGAGTGGAAGCTAGTAGCTTTTGGCACCAGCCACGGCTTTGGCCTCTACGATTACCAACAGAAGAACACCGTCCTCATCAAGTAAGGAGACGCAGAGAAAGAGAGGAAAACTGTATTTGTACATTTCCACCCTCAAGGACTTTCATTGATCTGATTTATGGTTTTAGCAGTTGCATAGTTACATCTGATGGATTCCTTTTACAGCCATCCAGGTTTTCTTAGCTGGTTTGTAGATTCAGTGTTTGTCACAAGCCTTCTTCTCTAAGCTCTAAGTTACAGTCCTCTGGAGACTACTATATAAACGGAGTGGACAGATTGCCCCAGGTTCAAATATAGTCCACATTAGTAGTCCGAGACAAACATTGCAGAAGCATTATATTGTGACACGGTGACGCTCATGCATATCTACAGTCTTTGTCCATGACAGACTATTGTACTGTGAACCTTTTCTCAGCTGTTTGACTTTTGGAGTGTTGGCAGACTTTATACACTTGCACTGATATCACCATACAGGCAGAGTTGCCTGTATGGTGATATCATGCAAGCTGGAATGACCAAGCTGGAATGACCAAAGCGGTCATAAGAAGCACGACAGCACCAAAGTCGGCTAAAGAAGTGGTCTTTTCCCTTTTTTAGGCTCATAACAAACTTAGGAAAAAAGACTATGATTTCCAACTTGCAGGATGAGAATGACAGAGCTTCAGGACCCCTGTGACTGTTGGAGATCTATTGCTCAAGGACATTTCGGCAGTGGTTAATATAGCTGCTTCTATTAGTTATAAACTTAATCGCCAACTATTTTGATAATCAATCTGTCGTTTTGAGTAATTTCTCAAGAGAAAATGTCCAGATTCTTAGTAGAGAATATTTTCTGTTTTCTTTAGTCTTCTATGTCAGTAAACTGAATATCTTGGTGTTGACAAAACAAGACATTTGAGGACGTCTCTTTGGGAAACACTGATCAACATTATTGACCGTTTTATGTACCAAACAACTAATAGATTGATTGAGTAAATGATCCACAAATTAACTGCTAATTGCTAGTTGCAGGTATATAGGTATACCTATATAGGACATAATTACTCTGACAAAGGTTTTAACTTGGGCCCTTTAAAGTGATACTGCTGATATTTTTTGGAACATTTACAAGAATTTAAGGTTATTTAGTACATGGTCGTACAACAGTGCCAGTGTTTGTGCACGAGTGCATTTATTACTCTGTGCTAACTCTGTATTTTCCCAATTGTAGGTGCACCCTAAACCCCAGTGACCAGCTTGCCATGGAGGGTCCTCTGTCCAGGGTGAAGAGCATAAAGAAATCCCTCCGACAATCCTTCAGGAGAATCAGACGCAGCAGAGTCTCGCTAAGGAAACATCACGTCAATAACGCTGCCAAGGTAGACCTGCAGCTCTCTGCTCTTCTGCTCACTGGGTTTCAGTTTCAGAAAACCACTGGCACCAGGGAGAACCCCCAGCTTCCTGCTATCGTCTTCACCTTTTCCCTCATATCTTTGTGCAGCTCCAGGAGGCGAACGCTCGTCTGGAGGCCGAACTGGCCGAGATGGAGCTGGCTCCGGTCCAGAGGAAGATTGAGGCTCGCTCCTCAGACGACTCTTTCACCGGTCTTGTACGGACACTGTACTTCGCCGACAGCTTCCTCTCAGACAGTGAGTTACACCGTCAAACATTAAATACAGCCCGTAACAAACTATACCTCTCATTCACACATCTCATTTTCTCAGGTTCACACAACACACCCTCCCTATGGGCAGGGACCAACGGCGGCTGCGTGTTTGCATACATGCTCCGCCTTCCTCCCGTAGAGCACAGAGCAGACGAACCAATCACTGCACAGCCGGGTGAGAAACAGAGTTTTTTTTAGTGTTCTTGGTAGACTCTTTTATTTCATTTGTCCTTTTTTTTTTTTTTCCCAGCTAAGGAGATCCAGCTGATGCACCGAGCTCCCGTCGTCGGTATAGTGGTGCTGGACGGTCACGGGGCTCCTCTCCCCGAGCCCTTGGAGGTGGCCCACGACCTGGCTCGCTCACCTGACATGCAGGGCTCACATCACCTCCTGGTCATATCAGAGGAACAGTTTAAGGTCAAGATCTCACACACAGGCGCACACACACAAACCTTAGCACACTCATTGATCAGCTTAAAAGATCATTACTCAGCTGAATCCTCAGCACATGTGGTTGTAGACTGATGTCTCTTTTTCATCACATTTTCATTGACATTAACAAATGATATTGTGTACTGTAGAAATATA